CTTCCTTTGTTCCGGATGCTTCCATTTGTCAGTCAGATACTGGAATCGCATAACAAAACCCTTTGGATAAGTTATGAATAATAATAAAAAGCTCTAGTGTCCCAAGGAAAATTCCCGATCCAGGCAGAGACAGCCTGTGTTTCCAAATGGACACGGATCTTGTTTTGACATTCACTCGGGGAAGCCGGGAGGGGGAGGGAAAGTCACAGGTGGATTAACGACTAGCAACAGTGTCTCATTTCATGCCATCTTCTCCCTATTTTTTCTCATCTTGATGTATTTGGGTTTGCATTTTAAACATTCTCATGCTAAAAGTGCTGTGCACCTTAACTTCACTGTCTATTACTTTATCACACTTTCTTAGACACATTTTAGGCCACACACCTTTAAAAAGTGAACAGGCTGTGACTATGATGCAGGCAGCTGAAGCCCAGAAGCTGAATATGACACCTATTATAATGCCACGTAGCTTTTTTTTTTTTTAATCTGATTCTTTGACTGTAAATGGCTTGCTCCATGTCATTAGGATTTTGGTCACTATAATGACATCTGACAGAATCCCAACCTGGTTTAGTAAATGGGGGGTTTTTTGTTTGGTTGGGGTTTTTTGCATGTACCAGCACTGCAATTTGCATCTTTTTTTGTAACATTTTAAAAGGAAGGATACAGTTACCAGCAGGGGCCTCAGACTGCAGCCTGCCAGAACATTTCATTTGTACTGAATAAAAATCCAAGTGTTATTCTGTCCAAGAAACTACATTTTCTATATATCCAAACAAATCCAATCAGCTTCATATATTAGAAACCTGAATATGTTGTTTTTCTCGTTTATGACCAGAGCCTATTAGCATACACCTTGTATCTAATAATTATTCCAGCGATTCTGACCTAAAATGTATCTAAAATTCGCTGCTACATCCTGGACCACTTTCTCAGATCTTCCCCTCCTCTCATGCCTCCAGAGTTCCCCCACCCTTCCTCGGTATTCCCTGTCTAGAAATTTTCATCTATAATATTCCACCATTCTTCTTCCAGCAAAATGCCACTTGCCAGTTTCAATCCCTTTAATATTCCCACTTTCTCCTCTCATATTCAAGCATCTTCCATCTTTGCTCTCCCACTCTCAGATACCTCTTCAGTCTCTCCATCTTATTCCATCTTCATCCCTTCTCTCTCTGATTCCCTTCCCCAAGGAACCGCCAACTCTGCTGTCCATGTCTCTTTTCCCTGCCACTCAATTTCTACCTCCCTTTCCCTTTTGCTCTCCTCTACTATTCCCCCCTCTGTTCTCTGCCTCCATTTCACCCCATCCTGTCCTGTTTTCTCCCTCTGGCTCTGCTTCTTTTTCACTATCTTCCTGTCTCAAAAAAGTTTTCCCCACCCTCTCTTCCTTTCTCTTCCTCCAATCCCCTTTTGTCCCTCTCCTCAGACCAATGTATTTTTGTTTTCAGTATTTTAGGACTAGTTCCACTCACACCCACACCCAAACAAGAGACAATCTGGACCTATTTCTCCTTCATCTCTGCTCCGCAAAATTCCTTCCTGCTTTGGTCCCACCTCTAGTTCTTCAAACTCCTGCCATCCACAACACCCCTCTCCCCAAACCCTTGCTCAGGATTGCTTACCAACTTGTGCCTCCTCCAGATCTACTCAGCCCCCATTCCCAAATTCCATCATTCTCCTCTTCCAGAAGTCTCCCCACCATCAGCCTTTGACTTGTCTGCCACCTGGCAGCTCCTCACTTCTGAATTCCTTCCCTCTCCAAACTTGATCCAATAACTACTGTCCTCTTACCCTCAACCCCTGCACCATTCTGCTTCTCTCCAAGTTTCTCCCTGTCCCAGCCCTCTCCCATCTCTCCCAAGTCCACCCCTTGCCCCATCCTCCTCAAAGTCCCCTTTGCACCCCTCAAAACCTACCCTTCCAAAGACCTAGGGTCCTCCCTTACCAGTGGTGAAGCAGGAGCTACTGCAGGTGAGCTGGCAGGAGACCAAAGGCCAAGTGGCTCCCTGCCAACCTGCCAGCGAAAGCACTCTAGAAAAGGAAAAGGTGGGTCAACTCCAGACATAAGTCTTTCCTGTTCACCCACTAGGATAAAGCATCCCTGGCGGCAAGAGGCTGCACTACAACTGTCTATTCCCAGCTGGTGCTTTTTGCATGGCTTGAATTACTGAGCTAGATATAAAGGCTGCTTTTTAATCAACTCGCTTATCACCTAACCATGCCCTGGGTAACTGCAGTGACACTGTTGCTACAGTGTGAGCTACACTGATTCATCTGATGGCAAAAGGCAAATACAACATATACTAAAAACAAACTAAAACAACTTACTGTTACTAAAACAACTTGCTGATTTCAGACTTTAGAATTTTTGCAGAATATACATTATATTTCCTATAACAACCATGCCTCACATTTTGTATTATATTGTGGGAGTTTATTAATTCTGGGATGTGTAAAATAATCAGAATACTGTAATGGTTTGGTTTCTTTAATTCATGCCTCAATCCTTTTTCTACTAAACATAAAGGGAATTTTGCCAATGACTTTGCCAGCAAAGAAGGAATTTTCTTAAAAACAAGATAACACACTGATGTTTTTTATTTTTATGAGTCTTTTTGGCTTCTTGGCTGTTCTTTACATAAGAAAATAAGAATTGCCATTTACTAGGTCTGATGATAGGTCCATCTTGCCCAGTATCCTGTGTCACACAGGGGCAGAGGGTAGATACTGAAAAAGACAGCGAACAGGGTATTTGACCAGGGTTTTTCCCCTGTTTCTCTCCCACTTGCAGACTCCAGCATTTAAGGTCCAGGAAGTTTAAATTCAGAAGCTGTATCCTAAACTCCCATGGTCAATAGCTACTGACGCACCTTTCCTCCAGGACTTTGACTAATCCCTTTTTGAATCTGGCTAAACTGTTAGCTTTCACACCATCTTGTAGCAATGAGTTCTACACACAAATTATGTGAAGAACTTCCTTTTATTAGTTTTAAATTTACTACCTACTAGTTTCTTTTTTGTGTCCTAGTTCTTGCATTCTGAGAGATGGCAAATAATAAATTCCTATTTACTTTCTATTCACCATTTAGGTACTTCGTAAACTCTTGTCATGCCCCCACCCCGAAGCGTCTCTTTTCTAAACTGAATAGGCTTAGCCTCTTTAGTCTCTCCTCATATGGAAGCCCCTCCAAACCACTAATCATCCTCACTATCCTCCTCTGTACTTTCTCAGGTTCTTCCTTTTGAGGTGTAGTGACCAAACATGGGCACAGTATTCAAGGTGTAGATGCACCATGGATTTATAAAGGGACATAATGATACTTTTGGGGGGAGGCAGGGTTTTTTTTTTACAATTCCCTTCTCAATAATTCCTAAACTTTTATTTGTCTTTTTTGATGGCTGCTGAGCACTAAGCTGATGTTTCTAGCAAACAGTCCGCAATGACTCCCATATCTCTTTCCTATGTGGTAACAGTTAATGTAGAGTCCATCCCAGTGTAGGTACAGTTTGGGTTATTTTTGCCTACATACATCACTTTACAACTTACTGATATTTAATTTTATCTGCCATTTAGTTGCCCATTCTCTCAATAGTGCCAGACCCTTCTGTAGTTCCTTGCAGTCTGCCTTGGCCTTTACCACTTTGAATAATTGTTGTGTTATCTTTAGATGCATATTTAAGCATACATTTGAACATACAATGCCCTGGAGCGGATCCCATAGCAGCAGAAGTGAAAAAGGTTGAAAGGAAACAGCAGCTCTCTTGCTGTATACCTGCAACATCTGATTGGTCAGGCATCAAGTATCCCAGTGGTCAAGTTTCAAAATTTTGGTCTACTCAACCGTTTCTTCAACATTAAGAAAAGGCCATATTAAAGATCTCTGCCAAATTTTGCTATCAAATCCAGCACCAGTTCCAGTACAGAATGTAATATGAAATGGAATCTGATCTAATTTTCCTTTTAAAAAGTAAAGAAAACATTAAACAAAGAACTCTTACCTTTCTGCTTACAGTTGCCATTACTGAAAATACAGATTTTATAAAGTCACCAATGTCAAGAGCATTCAAACGCAGGAGTATCTGATATATCCAGCCTTCTTCTGTTTCATTGATAAAGACAGAAGATGTTTTATGTTACAAGTCAGTCTTGTTAACACTTTCATCTACTTCTTTTTAAATTTGCAATCTTGCTTAAATTAAGTAACGTCATACTTACCATCACTGGGAATGTAATTTCGAATCAGGAAAGACATCTCTGTGAACAGCTTTTTGGCACCTAACTGAATATTTCTTGCTGAATCATCTTTGGTTTTCATTAATGGAATTGTTATACCTTCTGAACTTTGGGCATTATTATTTTCATTATTCAAAGGTGTATTTATGCGGTGTTTCTCTTTACTTTCTTCTAGTAATTGTATTTTATTGGATATATCTGCAAAAAAATTAATATTAATTTTCAGTGTTTTCATTAATGATTTCTAGTGTCATTTTTTATAAGATTGTTTCACAGTACATCACTATTTTGATTTCTGATTTTCTCCTCATTTTCAAAGCTGAACTCTAGACTTTTTCACTTGCAACTTGCCAAGAAAGGGGCAAAACACTGAAACAGTTCCAATTGTTTACAAAGTTTTAGACACCATGCTCTGCAGGACAAAATCAGCATAATTAATATACAGAATACTGAGTCATTAGGTACTGTTCTGATATCACTGTATGACAAGATAATATGAAAAGTGACCAGGCAGAAATATAAGAATTTATTCCATGTAGGAATGAGTAGATTATAGGAATCTGCAGCTAATCCAGATATACTAGTCTAAATTCTTGCCTCAGAAAGGAGTTGCATGGATATAACAAGAGACAACTTCTGTGTTGCATAGGTGCAATTAAGGCCACAGTTTGGTTCACTAATTAGAAAAAGACATATGTTTATCCTTGATTAGTACTGGCTTGAAAACTCTCCTAGGATTACCCTGCCTCTCAATGCAATCATGTGCAGATATCTGTGGACTCAAGAGAGCCAAAATAGCCAGGAGAAAAATGTTATGCAGGACTAAAGATAAACAATTTCCCATAAACTAATAAACTTTTTTGTAAATAATATACACACAACAAACAGGTGTGTTTGTACGAGTATGATTAGATTATTAGCTGTTTTAGAGAATACCACAAGAGCTTGTAATATGAACAGTAAAAGCTTAATGAAAACTAATGTTAATTCACTACATTAAACATGATACTATGATGAGATTATCTCAATTTCCATTGCAAACATCTCAAGACTTTATGTAGTAACTGTGAGGTTACATGTGTTACCACTCTGCATATATATGGATATATCTGATACATTAACAAATGTTGCAGTTATCTATACCATCCTATTTTTTACTATACAGTTCCTCAAATAGCAGCAGCAGAAGCAAAAAACCCTTCTGAAAACAAAATGTTCCTAGTGACAAAAAAGGGAAATTAGCATTTACAAACGTAGTAATCATTGTTCAGGGCCATTTCTCAAAGATGGTATAATAGATATTAAAAACAGTTTTAGTGAGCTAAGAATTTAATTGTGTGTTAGAGACAAAGGGTTGCTGTTGGCACAAAACGATGATTAATATAAATATGTTATTAGTAGAAAAGAACTAGACCATATTTTCAAAGTCTCAGTTTGGCTTCTAAAGCACACATTTCCATTTTAAGCTCAGGTTTGAGCACATGTAATTTAGATGTGGGTATCTATTATATATTTCTAATTACTCAGCTTGTATATACCTTTGAGTGAGTTATATTGTGAGTGTTAAATTTGGCCATGATATTAGAGGCTTTAGAATATTTGATCCAATATTTGAACTAAACACCTTTCTGGAATAATGAGTAAGGTGAATAGGATCAGATATGTAGTATATAAATATGTGGCCTGATTTTAAGCCCACTGAAGTCAAAAGAAAGATTCACGTAAACTTCAATGAGCTTCATTTTAGGCCCCCAGAACCTAAACAAGATGGACTATCTTTGGAATAACTATGAATTCTCTCAAGTAGCTACCTACATGGTTTACTATTTTTACAAGTATTCCACTCATTTATTTCATATTACATAATGGTTTCCATTTGTAACAGTGTGAGATAAGGGAGCCATGTATCCCTAAAAATATATAAAAATATGTGGCCTGATTTTAAGCCCACTGAAGTCAAAAGAAAGACTCCCATAAACCCATGAATAGCTATTAGCCTTGATTTTTAAAACACTGAAAATAAATACTATGAAGTGTGCCATACATTATTTTCCTCTCAGAGAGCAAGTTTTGTTCTTGCTTTACCATCTTTAGTTAGTAAAACAGCAGTCCAGTACCTTGTTGTGCATTTTGGAAACTACACTTTACTCTCGCAGCTGACCAATGTTCTTGTAGCTCTAGAAGAATATTCACTTTCTCCTTCAGACATTTCTCACCCACAGTGTCTAAGTGAGGTTCCTCTTCAACAGACAAAGTCAGTGGTTTTCTCTCCCTGAAATTATCTACACATGTGTAAGTTGTAATTCCATGATGAATCTTTTCAAACTGTTGCTCCAGCAGCATCAATGTTTCACTTTCACACAGACTCTCTGAAGGTTTCTTCCTTTCCAGAGACAACTTTAAATAAAATTGTTGGTATGCAGTGAATGAGTTGGATACATCTGAGTCACTATCAATTAATATTTGGTCATCCTTTTTTATTTGCTGGGACACTGATTCTCTCTCCCAGGTTATGGTGTTGTCAGTTTCTTTTTCATTGTTTCTCAAGTCTGCTGCAATACCCCTTTCCTCGGTGCCACGTAGTTCTTTCTCAGCTCTTTCTTTCAGCATTGTAAGAGGATCTCTGCTGTTCAGCTTTCTTGTAGCTTCTGCAGTCTGAATACTGTCTCTGTCTTGTTCTGATTCATTTTCTCTCAACTCATCCTCATTCTTTAGCATGTTTTTTAATTCTTTCTTTTTCTTATTTATTCTAATATCTTCCCTATTTTCATTTGAGTCTTGGACAAAATTGTATTTGGTATTTCTTCCAGAGTTGTGATTATTAGTTTTACTAAATAAACCCCCCAAAAACCATGATGTTCTAGTACATATACTATCCACTACCTCCTCTGTCTGGGCACTGTTTTTATTATCTATATTTATGGACTCTATGTTTGTCTGACTTTCAGTATCTTTTTTGTAGTTTTCCTTGTAAATGCTTGGTTTTTCAGAAGCAGCTAGTTTTTCTATATGACTTGTGGTTTTAGTTGGAATAGCATCTTCCTTTTCAACATAAGTTTTATTATTCAGAGCTATATTTAAATGGAGTGTATCCAAGCCCTGCTCACTTTGCAAAGGTGCATGTTCTACAGGGTTGTGTGCTGAATCATAGTAAGGGGAAGTAGGTGAGAAAGGCTTGTTAGAATCAGAGTCATCATGGTTTTTAAATACTGTCTGGCTTTGCATTTTGAAAGACTTAAAAGATTCTAAATGTAATGCTGGGCTGCTGCTTTCAGACTCTTCAACTATACTATAGTGTTCCTGGAATAGATGCTTATGTTCCATATGAGACAATTTATAGGATCGTGATGTTTCTGTTGTTACTACATTTTGTTTAGAGATTTTCAACTCTGATATATCCAATAATTTTGATGCTACATTGTCATCTGAATGAGAATCTGATGGTATTTTCTGGTCTTCAGATTCATTTTCTGTATTTATGTTTTCTGTACCTTCATTATGATTTGGACTGGTGAACGCAGACACTTCTACATTTGACGATACAGAGGAATCTTGTCTTTTATTATGCAGCAGTTGATTTTTACATTTCTTTTTAGGATCTGAATTAGGAATTTCCTTAGACTCACACTTTGACATCAGAAGCTCATGTTGGAAAGATGAATCTGCCAGTGCTATTTCTACTGGATCTTTCTTATGACTTGATTTTAGCCCCTCTTCAGAAAAACTAAAATCGGGTGCTATAATTTGCTCATGCAGGACCTGGTCACAAAGAATATTTTCCGATAATGAGTCTTCAGTAATTCTAGAATTATCAGAATCATGTTCACTTGGATTTGAGATGCCATTTCTTTCATTGGTGTCTTCATCTATTTTCTCCTGTGGAAACAGCACAGAAGTTTGCAGACCCTTATTGTCTTTGTTTTGAAAATTGTACAAGAGATCATTTAGTGTGTGACTATCTTGCTCTGGGGTTATGTTCTCACTTTTTAAACTTTCTCCAGAGAAATTCACTAGAGATTGTTCTTGGTTTGCCATCCTATTTTCTCTTTTCTCACTTTTTTGTTTATTTGGCTTATTGTTTTCTAATATTTGCTCAGTGGTTTCTAATTTATCTTCACTGGACTCCGCAGTGTGCTCTGTAAAAGTCTTAGGCTGTTTTACTCTGTCTTGAGAGAACCAATTCACATCTTCCCTATTCACTGCAGTTTCCTTTAACAAGATACTGTCATCATTTGAGTCTCTGGAAAAAATATTTTTTACCAAATCTTGTGAAACAGTATACAAGCCCTTTTCAGGATTTTCATTATACTTCACATCAGCATGTTCTCCTTCTTCTTCGGAGTCTACAATGTAGTGCTCCTGTACTTTATGTTTTAAATTATTTTTTAATATCAATTCATTCAATTGTAAAGATAACTGACCAGCATTTTTAATTGTTTTTATGCTTTTTGTATCAGCAACATGATTGCTACCAAGTTTGTGGCAATTAGCCTCTGAAATATTTTCACTTAAATAATCCTGCTTTTCTTTCTTTTTACTATTTTCTTCATTAGAAGACTTTTCCATAAAGGATACATGTTGCTCTGGTGCATCTTCTATATTTATCTTTGACCCTAATGATACTTGGTGCTGGTCTTCTAAAACAGAAATGTCAGTGTTATCTTTTTTAATACAGAATGGTTCACTTTCACGCCCCATAGTAGTGTGTTGTTCACACTTTGGATATCTAAAAAAAAAGTCTACATTGTGTTCTGACCTGGATTCTGCAGATGAAAGAACCAGACAATCTTTTACTAATTTGGTTTCTTTCATTGTGCTTTCACTATTTTGTCTATTTTTCTTAACTGCCAACTGAAGCAGAAGAATATCCTTTTCTTTGGAATTATCTACATTACTCTTCTCTGGTACTTGATCATTAACCTTCTGATTTGATTGGGCTTCCTCTTCAGATTCTTTATTCTCTAGTGATATTTCATAATCTTTTCTAGACTGGCTATTTTTACCATTGAAGTACAGTTCCCCTGGTAGCCTTTGCAGAAAATGCTTATCTTTGCTTGTGAAACTCTGAGAACTTAGTATGTTTTTATAATGACTAACAGAAAAGAGAGACTGAGGTTCTTCAAAATGTTCAGGCTTTTCTTCCTCTGAAATTCTGATGTCAGATCGGTCTGTGTCATGAAGTGAGCTGGAAGAAAAGAAAAGGTGGGCTCCTACCAATGCCTGTGCCTCTTCAGAAATTGTAGGTTCCTGGTCCTCTTGATCATTCAACATTTTCAAATTAAAATCTGCGATGCCATTAGGGATACTGTCAAATGAAGCTGGCTGGTCTTTTTTGTTCTCTGATTCCTGCATTTTTTCTTTGACTTCAGTGTTTCCTATGACTTGGCTTTCTGCTGCTGGATTTTGTTCTGCATTGTAAACTTCAGTTAGTTTGGCTTTGTCTGATATCGCCAGAGTAAGAGGTAATTCATCTTTACTTGGGATCTTGAAGTTCTGAGAATTATCTACATGTACCTGCAGTTCCCTGGAACGTGGCATTTCATCTTCCGAATCTTCTGTTTTTATGTCATTCTGTCCTTCCTGTTGTGCTGTTTCAGCTATTTCCCTTTTTGGGTTCCTCTCTGTGTAAATTTTAGGTTCTTGAACATTTAAAGTATGCATTTCTTCCTTCTTATATGTTTTGGCTTCTTTTCTTTCAGTTGATTCTTCTTTTGATACAACATACAGTTCACTAGAATAAAAATTTTCACCACTACATTCACACAGAGGTAAATCTATTGTATTTTTTCTATTTAATTCTGAAGATGCATGTTGCTGATCCTCTGAGACAGGGACATCATAATTACTTTTTATATTAGAACATTCCTCTTTTTCACTGATTGTAGAAACATCTCCCTCAGATTTTAAATGTTTAAAATGTTGTATGAATGGCACTTGGGAGACTGGAGGCTCTAACTGGGATTCTACAAATAAAAGGGCTAAAGTATCATCATCTTTTTCCAATTCAGCATAATGTATTATTTTTCCATTGCCTTGCACTGATAATGGAGACAACCACACACTTTCCTGGGACATGTCTACATCTCTTTTCTCTTGCACTCTTTCACTAACCTTCTGATTTGCTTGTAACTTCTCTGCAGTCTCTTTACTTACTTGTAACATTTTGTCACTGTTTTTAGTTTGGGGGTGTTCTTCACTAAAACTCAAATCCTCTTGTGCAGGTTGCACATATTCCTCTACTTCAGTTGCTGAACTCTGAAAGTTCAATATGTTTGTAAAATAACTCAAAGAGAGTAGAGGTTGCAGTCCTTTATACCTTTCATCCTTTTTTCTTTCTGAATTTTTAGTAGCTATGGGATCTAAGCTCTGAAGTGAGCTA